TGTGTGTGTGTGTGTACATTCATGTAGGCTAAAGAAGCAGGTAGGAGGCAGCAGATTATAATAGTTTGAGGCATTCTCTCTCATACCTTGGTCAGGGTCATTGCTTTGGTTTAACATTTATCACACATATGATTGTTAAGGGGCTTCTAAGTCTTGGATACCAAGAAATTGTTATGAGTATCTTTCTACTTTATTGTTCCAGATGATCAAGGCCACTGATAAAGAATGAATGATTGTAGGCACAATCTTGCATTAGTATCAGTTAGCCCCAACTTCTATGGGACACTACATGGGCAAAAGGGGCACAAGCCAAAAGATTTTAGTAAATCACCATGGATTTCAAATCTGGCATTACTAGGATATTTATTTAACACACATTTATCAAAATCTAAATAAATTATCATGACCATTTTTCTTTTTAAAAAGTGTAATATTTCCCCCAAAACAATTTCTTCATAAATTTAAAACAATATCAAAGAAATCACTGTTGAAATGTAGTTACTTCTGCAAATGGAATATAACCATGAAAAAAACCGCACACACAACAGTTACTATGGTATTAGTCAGATACCAATTATGCCAAAAAATAGAGACACTGAAAGTGCAGAAGACACTGCTTTTCCCCAAATGAATAGTCAATCTGCATGCCACATAAAAGTTTAGGACAGGAAAGAAAGGATAATGTATGCTTTAAACCTTGTAATACATTCTTGCAGGCAACATTTAAAAACTCAGGTAAGTTGTAGGACCCACAGGAAAGTTTTAATGCTCTGAAGATTAAGATTACGTTTATTTTTCCCTTCTGTTTTATTGGATTGCACACCCCTCTTCTACATTCAAAATTATTTCCATTATACAAGGATCATTCAGAGTTAGATCAGTCACAAAAAAGACATGTATGTTTTTTCTGCATTAAATGCTAACACTATCTTCATGACACAATGAATTTTTTGATAAACAGAATCCTTTTAAGTAGCATTATAAAGGTAATCATTTTACCTCATACCCTTTCAAAGGGACATAGATGTTTTCAAAGTGGCGCACATGACTTACATATCAATCTAATGATCCTGAAGTGTATTGAGAATTTACTTGTAAATGGCATCTATTGTAACAAGTCAGTCAATTTTCATGTCAGAATAAGGTGTATCAGAATAGAAGGAAATCCAGATGCTCTTCTCACTTACAGCAGTTAAACCTATTGATTTCAGCAGAGCTGCTCCCAATTTACATCACTAAAAATGAGAGGAGAGAATCAGATCTAAAACACATAATGGGTTATTTGTGATCATCACATACTAGCCTTCCATTAAAGAACAGTGTACTTAAAGAACAGAGTTTATTTTATTGTGTCATGTGACTTGTTTCTCTGAAAAGGAATAG